CTAAAAATAGAATTTTCTTCGAAATTCCTTTAAAATGCAACTCCTCCTACAGTTTTGATTTGATTTCAATATTACTTGGCACACAAGTAGACTAAACTAAGATACATAAAATAGTGCATTGGTTTTTGATTTCGATGAACGGTGTTGCCATGGTTACTAGAAATAGAATATTCTCTTGTTTTTGAAAAGTGCTGCTAGAATCGTATGGTCTACGGGAATTAATGCATTTTTTAAAAAATGTTATTAACAAAATGTAAAAATTTTGGGAAGGTTTCGTCAGAAAGTGTTGAATAATAATTTCTTTGATAGGACAGTAGGATTTTAGCAGCACTTTTCATGGTACAGAGATGTTTTTACATAATTATTATTACAAATTGAAATTAATTATCCCCGGGTTGTGTTGAACTTTTCACTTTTTCAATAAGGCATATTTTCTAATTATAGACGTCACGTGGTGACGTCGTGGTGAAGTGCTTCATGTAGTATAAGTCCCATTGAAGTCTGTAGAATGCATATTTATAACAAAAGTTTTATGCTTGACTTTTCCGTTTTATTAGTATTACATAATTATAAAAAAGTCTTAATTTGCCGAATTCTGGTCCATGTGCTGCCTTAACATACCCGCGTCGGTTAGCAGTTAGTTGCAGGTCCTCCACAGTGGCCGTTCCGTACAGAGATTTTGATAATCCCCAAGAAAAAGACAACGGAGCGATGTCTTCTTCCATGACCTTTAAAAGAAAGTTCATTCATAGAAATAATTTGATTGATTGATTTTATATTGTTTAACGCCGAGTCGGAAATATTTCAGCCAATATTTCGGCGGACAAGTTTGTTTATTGACCGGTATTGTGAAAGTTTTTGGTTTCTCTGGCGGCCCCTAGTGAGTCTACTCTTTTTTGAACTCTAGAGAAACGGTCTTTTACGTGCCAAAGGGGTTGTTATCCCTGACACGGGGTACCATTAAATGTCCCATCCGACGGGCCTAAAATTTAAAAGTATGTAAACTATTCTAAATATTTAAACTGTTAAAAATAAAATGATCTAAGTATATCTCATAAAAACGCTCTAATCATTTCTATATTTTACTGTAAAAATCAGGTTCCTGTATATATTCCAAAAGTCTACCTGGAATAGGCGTAAAATCGGAACATTCTAATAAAATATAATCACAATTGCATTCATAGAAATAAAAGAAGTTAATCTGTTAGTTTCATTATTTATATCATTTTCTAAAATATATATCACTGCTCTTAATGGATGTTTCTTGTTCTTGATGCACATCTCCTTCAATCCATTCTTTTTCCTCGGCAAAGATTGGAATCAGTATCGGTAGGGATATCCATCAAAATCTGTGATACCAATGGGCCCCTGTTGTTACAATTGTTCCATGGTGTTCGAGGTAAACACCCACATTTCCAATTAATGCATTCATAGCAAAAATTTGGGGCATCAAACCAGCAGATGACCAGAATTGGACATGATGAAACCTCTGCTATAATGAAACAATGTATAAGAAGATTCGTATTATCCTCCAAAACACCACAATCGTAGCAGGCTGAAAGGCAGTTCTCCAGTTCGACTCTGTTAACTGACTCCTTAGTCTTTAGAGCTTTAAATATGCTAAATCATAATTGAAGTAAAATATAGAATTTTTCAGTGCATCTTGAAAAAATCTTTCTGGTTACTGGTTGTGGGTAATAATATTGTATCCCTTAAGGAGCTAGTCGTTAATATTAATGTAATTATACAAGAAGATTGACAACTTCCGGTAATGTTGCCTTGGTGTGAATTTACTTACATTTTAAAAATAAACAATGGATTTTTTTAAAAATAAACAATGAATTTGAAAACTTTATTATTTCTGTTTTTAATTTTTGTTTTGATAAATATTTCTTATATTTCTAGTAATTCATCCTTTAAATACAAAAGGCCTATTTCAATAATTTTATAACTTCGACCTTATCTTGTAACCTTTCAAACGGACAGCAATCTTGGTAAAATATAGGCATTCTTAAGGAGAACTAGAACTGTCCAATAGGGACAAATACCCTATAATTTTACCCTTAGTCAGTAGAGGGCAAACAAACATTCTTTTAAAGATGGCCTCAAATGACGAAAAGCATTTTTTCGAAGTCTTTAACAAAAATAAATTGTAAATAATTTTAATCATGTTGATATGTTCATGAATTACAGCTCATGAAAATTTCAAATTTTAACTTAATATTCCCACTAAACAATAAATATTCCCACTAAATAATAAATACAATGTACATAAGCAATTAACTTAAGGTTTAAATACAATATAAGCTGTGAATTTGTACAATTTATCACTGAGTCAAATTTTTTCATACTAATTTTTAACAGATTTTTCTGTTATTTCCCAATCATGACAAGGAGCACACGGCGAGTGTGACCGGTCTGCAGGGGATGCTCACTCCTCCAAGGCACCTTATCCCACCTTGTTGTTTTAAAGGTCCATGTTTGCTCTTCTCCTATTTTGTATTGTTTTATGGACTTTGATATTGAAAACAGTTCATTTTCTTTTTTTGATTTATTACTACCTTATGTAAATCAGCAGTTAGGTCTACATCATATTCGAACCAAACTTTACTCTGTCCCTTTGAAACTTTTAAATAGTCTTCTTGAAAAGACCAAGGAACATCCAAATTTAGATTCCTCGACACCTGAATATAGGCTCGATTCTGTGATTATGGATATTGCACATCATAGGCTTTTTAAACCCGCACAATTCATGGAAGAAAATGCAGCTAAAACAATCCGTCTTTTCCTTAAACTTCAATATGCCAATAAAGGAATTGACGCGGTTAATATAAGTAATATTCTTAATCACAAAAGGGTCCAGTCTTGTATTCCACCATATTTCAAGTTAAAGACTACGCCTTGTATTTCCTATAAATATACATCGACCATTGCTTCCAAACTTTTCAATTACAAAAACACTTTACATGGCCTGGATATCGACTATCTGAAAAATAATCCCCTTTCGTGTTCATGTTCTTCTTCGCCCTATAACTATAGTCCTGCTGGACACGTTATTACAGGTGACGTAAAAATAGTTCGTAATGAGGACCTTAGATCACTTATTTTAAAAGGTCCTAAATATAGGGAACCCCGATCCTTCAACTGGCGTCGGAATTTCATAAATATTATGGATTCTGTTGAAAATTACGCCAGACGATGGGCTAGATATGAAAAAGAAGACATTGACACCTTGTCAGAATGGATTAAATGTATCAGATCTAAGTCACGTATTAAAAGATTGAGGGGCAAAGTGAAAACCATCTATCCTTCTGTGTTCAATAAACCAGAAGTGAAAAAAAGAATTAGATATATTACACGATCAGTACGTACTGGTTCCTGCCGACAAAGCAGGTAACAACATTGTCTTCGTTTGTAAGGCTCATTATATAAATTGCATTCTAGAAGAACTTGGATTTAATTCTACAAGTGGTAATCCTACTTATACATATACTTCTCTTTCTAAGGAAGAAGTTCTTCAGAATCACCTGTCAGTTTTGAATACTTTTAATATTCCACAGAGCCAAAATGAATTTGAACTACCTTATATATATTGGATTCCGAAACTTCATAAGAGTCCTTACAAACAAAGATACATTGCAGGTTCCAGTAAATGTTCAACCAAGCCTCTTTCGTTACTTCTCACTAAAATATTGACAGTACTGAAGGAAAAACTTCAAGAGTACTGTACAACTATATATTCAAGAAGTGGTGTAAATCAGATGTGGATACTTAAAAATTCTAAAGAACTTTTGGACAATTTGAAATCACAAGACTTTACAAAAATCAACAGCATAAAAACTTACGACTTTTTAACTTTATACACAACAATTCCCCACGACAAATTAAAATCCAGACTTTTTGATATCATTGACAGCTGCTTCTTCAACAAAAATGGAACTCGTAATTTTACTTACCTCGTCATTGGTCATTTGAAAAATTATTTTGTTAAAACAGATTCTGATTGCACACATAAGTACTCTGAAGTTCACATCAAGAAGATGCTTGAGTTTCTGATTGACAATATCTATGTGGTTTTTGGAGACCAGGTATTCCAACAATCTATTGGAATTCCCATGGGTACAAATTGCGCTCCGTTATTAGCAGACTTATTTTTATATTCATATGAAGCAGAATTTATGCAAAATCTTTTACGTGAAAAGAAGAAAACACTTGCTGTGGCCTTCAACTCGACATTTAGATATATCGACGACGTATTGTCAATTAATAATGATAATTTCCATTCCTACGTCGACACGATATATCCTGGTGAGCTTGAGATAAAAGACATCACAGAGTCCGACACTTCTGCTTCATACTTGGATATTTTACTTGAAAAAGACACTAATGGTAATCTAACAACCAAGCTATATGATAAACGCGATGACTTTAATTTTTCTATCGTCAAATACTTATGCAGCAATATACCTTCATCACCTGCATACGGAGTATTTATATCTCAGTTGATACGATATGCTAGAGCATGCTCTACGTATGAACAATTTCTTAAACGAGGTAAATTATCGACAAGCAAGTTGATGAAACAAGAATATCAACAGTCTCGTTTAAAGTCATCATTTCGTAAATTCTATGGTCGATACAATGACCTTGTCAGCAAATACAATTTATCATTGAATGAAATGCTGACTGACGTTTTTCATACCAACTGTTAGTCCATTATTTATACACTGAATTGACCACGGATTTTTTCCGTTATATCCTGATTATGACAACGAGCACACGGCGGGTGTGACCGGTCGGCAGGGGATGCTCACTCCTCCATGGCACCTGATCCCACCTCTGATGTTTCGGAGGTCCGTGTTTGCTCTGCTCTTATTTTGTATATTTGTTTAATGGACGTTGAGATTGAATACTGTTCGTTATTTCCATATCCTCCATATCCTTCATGGGTAAATTTGCAGATCTAAGACAAGAGAACATTACTTTCAGAGTTCCATTCTTTACTCATCATAATCATCACATACAAGCAGCTCTTCAGGGAAATCAGAGTCTGTACTATCGACACTATCGGCACTGTCTATGCTTATCACAAGGAAAGACTTCTCCAGATATAACATATCCGTACAGTTTAAACATGAACAGTCTTTCATACACAAGTCACAACAAGTGTGGTTGCCACTCTGCACTTTCACCAAATTCATCTCGGATTCTGATAAGAAGTTGGTCATCAACATCTGTCTTCGACAAGTGGCAGCTTTGTAAAATTCTTTTACTTCAGTTTCGACGTGACTCAAATGGTGTCCATGATGCAGTAGTAAGGCAAGAGAAGGCTGCTGATCCCTTCCCACTCTCCCAATCTCCTGTAATAAATCCACGATTAATCTTGGAGCTCCAAATAAGATGAGAGAGTGACAGTCTTTAACATCAATACCCATGCCCAGTGCATTGGTCGCTATAATGAGATTCCATTTAGATGATGGGTCCTGTAATAATCCAAGTATTGAGTCCTTTTTTCCTGTTCTGTTTCAGAGTGGTACATTTCAATTTCAGAGTTGGGTAGTTCTTTGCACAAATAATTATATATGGCTGCACAGTCTGTTATTGAAGTACAGTACATCAGCGTTTTTGGAAAATTGGAATCTGTGATTTCATCAGCAAGAAATGCCATAGAATGTTCTATATTGTAAGGCACCTTGGAGACACAGAGTTTTACATTGGCTGGATTTGGTGGAAGTTTGATCACCATGGTAGATGGTGACAAACATAAAACTTTTATCACTCTATGTTGAATCTTCAGAGTGCATGTAGCACTGAGAGCCACAACAGAGGCCTTTGGAAATAGAGATCCACGTTCTCCTATGTGAGAAAACCATTTTCTAAATGCTTTCTTTTGGTTGTCTTCATTTGTACCCATGAAAAGAAAATATATACAGTGTAACACATTAGACAGTCTGGCAATTGATTAAGGAAAAATATTACATGTCATAAACTCTGTTTATTCAATTTACAGGTCATATTCTGTTTATGTGTCACTCAGGGACATAGGAATATGTTGCATGATTAAAGTTGGGTAAAAATATATGACTTACCATGTTGCTATTGTGTGAAATTCATCCACTACTATGGTGTCAACTTGAAGTTTTTGCAACGAAGACCTCCACTCTTTGTTCCCAACAAGAGTCTCTGGGGATCCAAATATGAAATCCACATTACCATCTCTAATGGCAAAATATCCTGTCTTGTCATTGCCTGTAATATGTTTAAAAAATACAACTTATTTCTTTTTGTTTTCTGCCACAGTCTTTTCAATGAGTTTTCATGTGTAAAATTTATGAAAGGTCAAGCAAATAATCAGGAATTCAAATGTTTAATCCAAATGTATGGAAAAATAATTTTATTTTCCAATTTAAGGACCATCTGAGAATTAAGATGTGTATATACAGTTGTGTGCCATAATTTAATTTGTTAATTTTTTTCTCTCTGTATATTTCATTGAAAACAACATTTTGTAAAATCACTGGCATATTTGTTCAATTTAATTATTCATTAAACCAGAATATGTGTAGTTACCTTTCTTTAAAAGGTCCTTACATATTCAGTTTTTAGTAAACATGGTAAAAGATAGTTCATCACTTAACATCAATTCTAAAATTCATTGTTAAATGTTACTTTTATTATGATTATATTGTATGTGCAAGGTGTGACTTAAAATTCATGTCACACTTAAAATTACAATTAAAAAAAAAATTCATGTATCAATGCTGATCACAGTGATCAGAGATAAAAAAAATCCGAGGAATCTCGAATTATAGCTATATATATATGCATAGAGTTATAAATAAAAAAAATGCATTTAATTTATTTGTAAACACACAAAAAGTTTATTACCTAGTATCTGGGCTCTACATCCTGTTAGTCTGTGCACACGTTGGACTTGATCCTTCATCAGTGCTGCTACTAGTGGAGAATACACGATAACTTTCCCAACTCGATCAGCTGATTCCGTCAGTGTCTGTCTTGTTAATATGGACAACTGGTACGGAAGACTCTTCCCAAAACCCGTGGGCAATACACAAACGCAGTCTTTCTTCTGTAGGATCAACTCCAGTATTTCTTTCTGTTCATTTTTTAACGAGATGTTTAATTGTTGTTGTATATTTACAATCGCTCGATCGATGTCAGCCATTTTTAAACACCTTCCTAACGACTGAAGATTCCTACGCTTTGATTGGCTAATTTTTAAATGAATATTCACGTCATAAAGTTCACGTGAACATGACCCCTGGTCGGGTTATGTCAGATCATACGCAGAGTGTATACGGCGCGGATCTAAGAAGTCTGATTTTAATTAGATTGAGAGATTCCAGGACCCAGTACTACACACAAGAGGAAACTATCCGTGATGACTGATAAGGCACAGAAGAAGAAGAAGTGAATGGATGTATTTTTTTTACTTGAATAAAATTGCTGTGATAAAATTCTTTTGTCTTGTCTTTTGTTATTTGGTATTGTATTGAGGAAATCCAGTTTGAACCGGCTGGCTGGCTAGACTGTATAGACTGTGAATGAAAGCGTGACGTCATAATCTTGAATCCCTGCCAAAATCGTAGTAGCAGCGTATAATGTAAACATAGTACAAACACACCCCCGTATTTAGGGGGCTACATGTAATGAATTGACCTGGCTATCCCCCAGGGGCTGCACTCTATTGACCAACCTATGCCCTCCAGGGGCTGCACTCCATTGACCCGCCTATCCCCCCAGGGGCTGCACTCCGTTGACCCGCCTATCCCCCCCCCCAGGGGCTGCACTCAGTTGACCCGCCCATCCAGGCGCCTTATACTACTCATATACCTACGCAAGAAAGCATTATCTAAGGAGTATATGGATATCTATGAATCCAATGGACACCTTCTAGTTTAATCAAACACCTCAACACAATTCCGAGGATCGGAGCAAGATTGACGCTAAACTGTGTTTATGATCAAATATCAGAAGAAAGATTTGCTTTATTGTCACTCTTATATTATTCTTATATACATGATTTACTATATTAATGTTTGTACAAATTGTAAATAAAACAGTTCGTATATTAAGTTATTGACGAAAAATCAATGTTGTGTCTGGGGTGTTTGCAACATGTTGTACGCGGGGTGTATACCCCATCTTTTCTTAGGATTGTTAGTGCGAAGTATCTATCATTTACACAGGTTTATAAGCGACAGGTAGTTTTGATAAAAGACCTCAATACTAATGCCGAACCAAAAAATAAAGTTCGTAAACTTACTGAAGTATAAAACAAATTAACTCAATTTTTAAAAATCAAAAGAATAAAAAAAAATAAAAAACAAACTATGCTCTAGATGTGCAAGGAGTGAACCAAGTCCATGTTGTCTGCTTCAAAGAATTCTTTGTTTCAAGTTTGAAGAAATAGTTCATCCCAATTTCTGATACTAGTCTTGATAAAGGTATAGACTTTTCTTAAAAATGTTTAATCTACATAATCTATATAAATGTTTAATCGATATACATATTTAATATTAATGTTTTCGATGTGCGATTCTGATTCTAATATAACTAAAAACCAATGCTACCTTCTTGCACCTATTTCAGATTCTATGAGGAGTTTACAGTGCAATTTACAGATGGGAAACGCCAAGATAAGAAGATTGTGGTCAATAAGTATGATGCTGAGAGGATAAGGGCAGGAGGTTTCAAAATTTATATTACTCGTATGTATGTATTTGTGTTGAATATGTAAAGTCTTATATTTACTGGATACATCTGACATCGGTTGACAATGGTTTTCCCAGGGGTGTCGATTTCAATAATTACCTAACCTACTATATAAAATGTAATTAGACATTTTGAACTGTTTCATGATTCATTTTATGTTTTTTTTTTGTGATCATGACACAGTCGAGCTGTTGACCGAGCCACAGAATGAAACTGCTGCCTGTTTAAAGCGTCATCATGATATTCAAGAGATTTGATGATCATGACATCACCCTTCACCTGTTGTATAATTAACTGTGTAATAAACTACCTACAGGCCATGATGGTCATCCGAGTACCATAGCCATTATATTGACCTGTCAGAGGGTCTCATTTTTGTATGCTTAGCTTCATTTTAGAGTCTAAGTCATAAAATCTGAAGACAGTTATTACAAAGAATGGAGAAGTAGTAATCTCAGATTGTTTATATCCAAGCTCCAGAATTGTAAATTTTTGGTAAAAAAGACCTTCAAGCCTTTAATGTTCAATCAATCGTAACCACAGAGAAGGATAAGGATAACCATTTTATCTTGCATATCAATTTGACAAGCAATGGACAAATTCAATTCTCGTGCTTTTTTTTATGGCGTACATAACTCTGGTTGCGCTTTACACAGTATATTTTCTTTGACTATAAAATAATCCAGTTCTTGAAAAACAAGACGTGTTTGTGAAACACTGATGCCCCCGTATGGCAACATAGTAAAGATTAAACTGTTCTAAAATGCAAATTTAATAAATTATTGATACAAAAAGTAGGGTATTCTCACTGGAGAATTGTGAAATTTTAAAGAAAGCCAATTTTAAAGTTTTTTAAATAAGTACAAAAATCTCCAAGGTCAAGGACAAAAGGTCAAGGTAATTGGTATCCTATGAAAGGTATTATTTACTTATTTAGAGTATGGAAGTTAAATGTAGGTCAAACTCCAAGGTCAAGGACAAAGGGTTAACGTTCTTGGTATCCAATGAAAAGTCTTCTCAGAAGGATTACATATGTGAAGTATGAAAGCCCTAGCCTTTACCATTCAAAGGTTACGGTCAAGGTTAAAGTTTTCTCGTAAGCACAAGTCAGGTCAAGGTTGTTGGTATCAAATGAAAGGTCTTGCCACAAAGTATATATATAAGAAATATGAAAGTTCTGATATCTACTGTTCAAAAGTTGTGGCCAAGGTCAAAGGTTTTGAAAAGTAGGTCAAACTCCAAGGTCAAGGTCCAAGAGACAAAGTTCTTGGTATTCAATGAAAGGTCTTCTAACAAGAATTATATATATATATGAAGTATGAAAGCCCTAGCCCATACCATTCAAAATTTATGGTTTATCCAATAAAAGGTCTTGCTACAAAGAATACATGTGTAAAATATGAAAGTCCTAGTACCTACCATTCAAAAGTTATGGCCAAAGTAAAAGTTTGGAATTTTTGTGTAAAATTGGGTCAAACTCCAAGGTCAAGGTCAAATTTAGTGGTACTTAAAGAAAGGTCTTGTCACAAGGAATATATATATGCAATAAAGTTCATAGGTCCACTAAACAAAAGTTATTGGCAAGGTTAAAGTTTTTCTAACAGACGGACAGACTGACGGACAGAAGAATGTGATTTAATGTTTCGCTTTCGCGAAAGCCGGGGGCAATAAAGGCAAAATATAATTTCTTTTTCCTTAATAATGTCAGTTCTATCAATGAATGAAGTACAAATATGTTAAGACTGAAGAGTGTTGGAAAATGCTGTCTTGGACATCCCATGGTGTTTGGTCATTGCGGTCGAACCCTCATAGTGTGGCTGCTGATACTTCTTCTGTTGGTACACAGCTAAGGACAGGTCAAATGCTTGAATGCAGTTGTAAACTTGTTTGTGATTTCTCTTGCTGTAAGTAGAAAGTGTGCTTTGAAACCCATACTTTCGCATATCAATAAAAATAACTGAATGACTCAGAATTTTCTTGTTTATAGTAGCTTAAAATTCATTTTATTAAGGATATATAAAATATTTGTTGAAATAGATCATTTGTTTTATGAATATGGGACTTGATTCTTGTTATGGTAATGACATATATCAACGAGAAAAACTTTCTAAATGCAAATTGATTAAATGTTATCACCAAGAACTTCACTGCTGATAGGGTTAACTCTTGTACCATTCCTAAAATCACTAGA